TCTGGAAGTGACCATTGCGTGGGTCACTGTAGCCAAGTCTTGGGGGAGAGAGATAGGCTTTCAGTAGCCTACTCTGCCGAAGATGGAAAAAGGCAGATCGGGTGGCTGCCGTAACTTGGGCCTCCACAGAAAGAGAGGCATCCAATGTCACTCCCAGACTCCTCACCTTCTGGGCCGGCACCAAAGGTGCCCCTTCCAGCGTGGGGAGCCCGATTCTCACATCCCCTCCCTTCCAACTCGGGTAGAGGACCTCCGTCTTCGATGAATTTAGCTTCGACCGACTCTGCCGCAACCATCCAGCCACAGCCTCCAAGACCTCAGCTGGATTATCAGGGGCAAATAAGGGATGGCCTTCCAATAACATCTGCATATTGATGGCAACCCAGCCCATACTTCCGGACTCACTGGGCGAGGGGGTATGTATAGATGCCAGTTTGGTGTAGTGATTAAGTGTGTGGACTCTAATCTGGGAGAACCGGGTTGGATTCCGGTTCTCCCACATTAGAGAGCCAGTTTGGTGTAGTGGTTAAGTGCGCGGACTCTAATCTGGGAGAACCGGGTTTGATTCCCCACTCCTCCATTTGCACCTGCTGGATGACCTTGGGCAAGCCATAGTTCTGATAAGAGCTGTCCTTGAAAAAGAGCAGTTTCTGTCAGAGTTCTCTCAGCCCCACCTACCTCACAGGGTGTCTGTTGTGGGGAGGGGAAGGGAAAGGAGTTTGTAAGCCACTCTGAGACTCCGAGTGAAGGGTGGGGTATAAATCCAATCTCTTCTCTTCTTCTTTTAGATGTTAAATAACATTGGCAATAGGATCGCCCCCTGCGGCACTCCACATTCCAGTGGGTATCGTGGAGAGATCCTCTCGCCCAGGGCCACCCTCTGTCCTCGACCATGGAGAGAGGAGGAAAACCATTGCAAGGCGGTCCCCTGAACTCCTATGTTCGGCAAGGTGGTGGGTCAATAGATCATAATTGACCGTGTCGAACGCTGCTGTCAGATCAAGTATTAACAACAGCACCGACACACCCCGATCCAGATGTCTACAGAGTTCATCCGTAAGGGCGACCAGAGCCATCTCCGTCCCATGTCTGGGGTGGAAGCCAGACTAGAAAGGATCGAGGATGGAAGCGTCATCCAGGAACGCTTGGAGTTGTTCAGCCACCGGTCTCTCAACCACCTTACCCAGGAACGGTAGGTTCAGCACTGGGAGGTAGTTGGCCAGGACCGTAGGGACCAGTGTTGGTTTTTTTAGGAGCGGATGGACTACCGCCTCCTTCAGAGTCCCTGGGAAAATCCCAGTAGACAGGGACAAGTTGATGACTTCTCCCAGAGGGACCCGAATGCTCTCACCGCAGGCCGTCACTAGCCAGGAAGGGCATGGGTCGAGGAGGCAGGTAGTGGGCCTCACAGCTGCCAAGGTCCTGTCAACGTCCTCCTGAGAGAGTCAGCGGAAGTGGTCCAATATTGGACCCGAAGGCGGACAAGGGGCTTCCAGTTCCATTATTGTCGCCAGTGTGGTTGGGAGCTCATGGTGGAGCATCATGATTTTGTAGGCAAAATAGCTCGCAGAGGGCTCTTTTTGTAGAAAAAGCCCAGCAGGAACTCATTAGCATAATAGGCCACACCCAACAGCAGAAACTCATTAGCATATTAGGCCACACCCCTGACAGCACAGCTCATTAGCACATTAGGCCACACCCCCATGTTACCAGAAGTGTGGTCATCCAGCCACACCCACCTTTTGCTTGTTATTCTGTTTACCTTGTTTGTTGTCAAAACCAGGGCCTTTTTTGTAGCAGGAACTCCTTTGCATGTTAGGCCACACACGCCTAATGTAGCCAATCCTAATGAGTTTCTGCTGTTGGGTGTGGCCTATTATGCTAATGAGTTCCTGCTGGGTGTGGCCATCTCGGGAGCCAGCCGGAACTCCGTTCCTGTGCGTTCCTGCCCAAAAATAGCCCTGCAACAACCAGTGCCAAGTGTGTGTGGGGGGGAAGGTTTGGCGGGCCCGGCAGCTGGGAGCTGCTCAGGCCTTGCTGCCGGTGCCGGGGGGGGAGGGAGGTTGGGCTCACCTGCGGCCGCTTCCTCCTCTTCCAAGTGAAGCTCCTGCTGCTTCAGCGGGGGAGCCGTGCGGAATACTCCACCCCGTGAGTAATGCGGTCCCCGCTTCTTGTATATTCGTAAACGTGAATTCAGACATCATACAGAAGTCTAGTGGTGCCTTAAAGACTAACAACATTTATCCCAGTGTGAGCTTTCAGAACTGAGCTCCGACTCACGAGACCTCATGCTGGAAGGAATGCTGCTAGAGTTTAAGGTGCCCCCACCGGATTTCTCTTCTGCTTTACTACAGGCTGCAGAGTAACACAGAGGCTCCCCCCTCTGGAACTGAAATGCAGAAGCAGGACTCACCAGGGTTGCCAGGGGGATCTGCGTAGGGTTGCCAGATCCAGGCTGGGAAACTACTGGAGATTTGGAGGCGGAGCCTGAGGAGGACGGGGACCTCAGTGGGGTATGATGCCAGAGTCCGCCCTGCAAAGCAGGAGAACTGATCTCTGTAGTCTGTAGATGACCTGTAATTCGAGGGGATCCCCCACTGGAGGCTGACTGACAGCTAGGGCTGCCAAGTCCCCCCGGGGGGCGGGGAACCCCCTGCCCCAGAGGCCCGTTCCCCGCCGCCGGCGGATCGGGCACTGGGGGAACCCCACCCCGGCGTGCGCGTCACCAGGAAGTGACGTTATGATGCCCGGCACACTGGGGGCGGGACCACAACCATCCAAGGGGAAAACTCTATAGGACGCCAGACGGGACACATAGGACGACGGACAGGAGTCCCCCGCTCCCGACGATTTTTGACTTGGCAACCCTACTGACAGCCCTTGGATTCACGAGCCAGCTGGTGGAACCAAGGCCTCTTCGAAGACAGGGCCTTCTTCAGCCTCAGATTGATACAGAATAAGCAGGGGTCATTCCGTAGAAAAAGAGGTGCAGGAGCTCATTAGCATAACACATTAGCATAACTTATTTGCATATGCCACACCCCCTGACATCACCGGAAGTGTGTCAGAAGGCAACACCCACCGCTCAGGCTCCACTGTACTGTTTTGGATTGCTAGCTATTGGGTGGGGGGGAGAACTCGCAGATCTGCCCTCACAGAGGAGGGAGAGTTTGTACCTGAAGGTGGGCTGGGGGGCGGGGGCTCTGCAACTTACCTGGCTGCTTCTTGCTCCTTGTGGCCGGACTGAGGGCTGCTGGGAGCAGGGGGAGGGGCTTGTTGCATGTGCCTGCCCCCTGGGCTCCTTACTGCTGGAGCTCCGCTCCTGTGGGCTCCCGCAGGAAATGACCCCTGAGAATAAGTATTATTAACTGTGCACTGATGTCTAAATGTAATGGACAAGTTACTTGGACAATGCTAATTGTTGGAGATGTGGAGAATAACCCTGGCCCACAGAGACAGCCTGGTGTAGTGGTTAGATTAATCTGAAAATTAATCTTCTGTGTCTTTGTCAGAAATAGATTAGAGGGGACTGGATCAGCCTGTAATACTAAAATAAAATAAATAAAATAACAGAACACCGTATTTCCCCCCACGGGTTCTCATCTTAAAACAGTTTGCAAAAAGGGTACCTGAGAAACATACTATCTTGCATCAATTCAGTCTACATACCAAGTGATAGAAAAAATTAAAGTGGTTATTACGCTGAACTGCAGGCTGTGGAAGGTCAGTAGTTCAGCAGTCCGAGACCCGAGTGTGCCGCATGATGGAGTGAGCTCCCGTCTCTAGTTCCAGCTCCTGCCAACCTAGCAGTTCTTAAGCAAGAAATTGCCAGTAAATAAATACCACTTTGGTGGGAAGGTAACAGCGTTCCGTGCACCTTGGTGTTTAGTCATGCTGGCCACATGACCACAGAAACGTCTTTGGACAGCGCTGGCTCTTCGGCTTTGAAACGGAGATGAGCACCGCAACCCTAGAGTTGGACTTGACTGGCTTTCGAGCAAGGGGACTTTTACCTTTACCTAGGGCCGGCTCACTCACTAGGCGAACTAGGCGATCGCCTAGAGTGGGACGGCCCTTAGGGGCACTAAACTGCACCCGGCCCCGTACTCTGGGATTATTGATTATTTGTGTTTTTCATTCTTTCTAAAATGCATTTATTTTTGAAAATTGGTGGATGCGGGGGCGGGGGGCAGAAGGGATCCGCGCCTAGGGTGCAAAATAAGCTGGAGCCGGCCCTGCCTTTACCTTTACAGTTATGATGACAAGCTTTTCCCCCGGTGTAAGTTTCTGTGCACAAAAAATGCACATGCAGAACTACATCAAATGGATTTAATTACCAAACATAGTTTATTCAATCATCTCTGTTGCACAGATGTTACCCACTTAATTAACTCATCAATCACCCCTTTCTTATGCTCTACACTACCTAGACATAGCACCTTGAGGCTTTCTCATCATTATTCTAAAAGTTGCAACTCTAATTATTCTCTCTGTCTAGTAAACAGGTAGTCACTAGAATATATTTCTTAGCTTCACAATATTCTCTAATTCTAAGAGCCTTACACAGTTTATTATATTTTGTGTTATCAAACTATTGTATCCTGCTTATACAGTCTGTAATATTGTGTTTATAGGGGGAAAACTAAATTTCCCTCTTCTCATGTTGTTATCAATATTCAATTAACTGTTATCCTTGCTTGTTCCATTCATTACTTCAATAAAAAATTATGAGTTAAAAAAAATGCACATGCCGAGATGTCGTTACGCAAACTTCAAATTTAATCCAGAAAGCCACAAGCCGTGCCAGTCTTTCGGGCACTTCTTAATTCTTTTGCTGCCAAATGCGTGACATCTGAGGGCTATCGGGGGAAGGAAACAAAAGACTACATATCCCAGAAGCCCCCGATGTGTTTATGTCATTAACGAGAGACTCTGGAGTGAGGGTTCTCAGGACACTGGACTTTAACAAAAGTGCTGCTGCCACTGCGAGAGAAGTTCCCCAAAAATGGAGCTGACAGGGAATGGTTTGTCGGGAGACTTGGATTTGTGATGTGAGACAAGACAGCGCTGAGCTCCCGCCGATTATTCTAGGGGGACAAAACAGCTGAATGTTTTCCAGAATTTCATGCTGAATGCTCTCCAGAAAGGAAGAGAAACATGCCTCCTTTTCGGAGAGGTGGCCAAGGATCACCAAGTTCATCCTGTCCGCCTGCGCCGCTTCTGTGGCGGAACTAGGTACTGATCGAGTCCATATGGGGTTGCCAACTCTGGGCTGGGCGATTCCTGGAGCTTTCGGGGCTGGAGCCTGGGGATTACCTGGAGATTTTGGGGGTGGAGCCTGAAGAGGATGGCGTTTGAGGCATAAGGCCAATTGAACCCAACTTCCAAAGCAGCCAGTTTTCTCCAGGCGAACTGATCTCTGTTGCCTGGAGAGCAGTCGTAATAGCGGGAGAACTCCAGCTGCCACCTGGAGGATGGGAACCCTACCGGGAATGGTGGTTTTGGGGGGAGGGAAGGAGCTCGGCGGGGTATAACGCTGTGGAGTCCACCCTCCTCCAAAGCAGCTGTTTTCTCCAGGGGAGCTGATTCCGGTCCCCTGGAGACCAGGTGTGATTCCGGGAGATTTCCAGGCCCCATCTGGAGGTTGGCAACCCTAATTCCATATCAGTGTTGGTAGGAGGGGGGATGGGGGCAGGCAGAAGGAAAGGGCTTTTTTTAAGCTCCGCTGTACACTCACTGGGTTGTTGCAAAATGCCAATTTTGGTTCACTGGGCATACACTGGATGAGCGCAGCATTGTCATCGTGCCCCACAAAGTTTTTAAGAAACTTGAAATAGTTTGACATGAATGTGATGTGCACTTATGAGCCCAAGCCTGGTTACTCAGGAGTGGGTTCCACTGACCATGACCCATGCTACCCCGATCTCTTCAGATCTCGACTCAGGAGTGGGTTCCACTGACCATGACCTGGACAGCCCATGCTACCCCGATCTCTTCAGATCTCTGAAGCCGAGAGGGTCGGCCCTGGCTAGGATTTGGATGGGAGACCTCCAAGGAATGCCAGGGTCTTGACGCAGAGGCAGGCAATGGCAAAAACCCCCTCTGAATGTCCCTCGACTTGAGAACCCCGCGGCGTGACTTGACGGCACTTTTCCTCCACCAAGTTCCACTGACTTCAGTAGTTCTTACTCCCAGGGCTATTTTTGGGCAGGAACGCAGAGGAACGGAGTTCCGGCTGGCTCCCAAGTTGGCCACGCCCAGCAGGAACTCATTAGCATAACAGGCCACACCCAACAGCAGGAACTCATTAGGATTGGCGGCTTGTGTGGCCTAACATGCAAATGAGTTCCTGCTACAAAAAAAGGCCCTGGGTTTTGACAACAGACAAGGTAAACAGAATAAGAAGCAAAAGGTGGGTGTGGCTGGATGTCGACACTTCTGGTAACATAGGGGTGCAGTCTAATATGCTAATGAGCTATGCTCTCATGGGTGTGGCTGGATATGCTAATAAGTTTCTGTCATTTGGTGTGGCCTATTATGCTAATGAGTTCCTGCTGGGCTTTTTCTACAAAAAAGGCCCTGCTTACTGCCAAGTCAGTGTGCACAGGATTAGAGTCTGAGAAGGTTCACATAGCTTATTACTTGCGTGGGCAAAGATGTTTTGGTGAGCAGTCAAGAAGAGTGAGACATGTCGATGCTGGGCAGGGGTCATTTCACAGAAAAAGAGGTGCAGGAGCTCATTAGCATAACTCATTAGCATAACTTATTTGCATAGGCCACACCCCCTGACACCACCGGAAGTGTGTCAGAAGGACACACCCAGCACTCAGGCTCTACTGGACTGGTTTGGATTGCTAGCTGTTGGGGGGGGCATGCAGATCTGTCCTCACAGAGGAGGGAGAGCTTGTACCTGAATAAAACATGGTCTTAAAGGTGCCACTGGACTGTTTTGGATTGCTAGCTATGGGGGGGAGATCTGCCCTCACAGAGGAGGGAGAGCTTGTACCTGAAGGCGGGCCGGGGGGGGCGGCTCTGCAACTTGCCTGGCTGCTTCTTGCTCCTCGTGGCCCAACTGAGGGCTGCTGGGAGCAGGGGGCGGGGCCTGTTGCATGTGCCCGCCCCCTGAACTCCTTACTGCTGGAGCTCCGCTCCTGTGCGCTCCCGCAGGAAATGACCCCGATGCTGGGACTTCATGGCCAGCTGTTAATTCGGGCCCAAGGCGTTGGATGTGAGCTGACCAGTCTTCTGTTCCTATTTCTTCTTGGTTATTTCCCTTAGTGACTTTCCCTCTGGACCTCACAAAGACCCGGCTACAGATCCAAGGTGAAGCTCCTGTACGTAACTATGAAGATGCAAGAAGGGGAACGGTCCCCTACCGTGGTATGCTACGTACAGCAGCCGGGATAGTCCGAGAGGAAGGGGTGCTGAAACTCTGGCAAGGAGCAACGCCGGCGGTTTACAGACACATAGGTCTGAAATACAAAGCCTTTCTGTTTGTCTGCCCAGCTGTCTGTCTACGTGGGGTAGCCATGTTAGTCTGAAGCAGTAGAACCAGGGCTATTTTTGGGCAGGAACGGAGTTCTGGCTGGCTCCCAAGTTGGCCACGCCCAGCAGGAACTCATTAGCATAATAGGCCACACCCAACAGCAGGAACTCATTAGGATTGGCTACATTAGGGATGTGTGGCCTAACATGCAAAGGAGTTCCTGCGACAAAAAAAGGCCCTGGGTTTTGACAACAAACAAGGTAAACAGAATAAGAAGCAAAAGGTGGGTGTGGCTGGATGGCCACACTTCTGGTAACATGGGGGTGTGTTCTAATGTGCTAATGAGCTGTGCCGGCAGGGGTGGGGCCCCATATGCTAAT